AAAGTACTAAAGGAACTTAGAAGCCCTTGGGTAAAGACCTCGGATCAAAGTGAGTGGGGAACTGCAGTGCAGTTGCAAAAGAGAGAGAGAGAGAGAGAGAGAGAGAGATAGGCCTGAGAATAATACATTTGGCTTTTATTTAAAAGCCTTTCTTCCTAAGACCTCTAACGCTTTTCCATCATCTTACTTAGTCCTCAAACATCACATAAAGATGATGCTGATGCTGACATTTTATTAGTGTCTGCTATATTCCAGGCACTGGGCTAAGCTGTTCACATGTTTGATCGAATCCTCACAACTACACTGTAAGATAGATAGTGTGATATTCCAGTTTTTATAAATGAGAACATTGAGATTCAAACAAGTTAAGCAAGTTGACCAAGGTCACACAGCTAGTAAGTAGCTGAACCAGGCCTGGGTTCCAAGACTGTCTGACCCAAAAGCCTATGGATTTAACCATTTTAATACATGGGGAAACTGAGACAGTGAGGTCACTTGTCCAAGTCAGCATAGCAAAGTCAGGCCTAGAGCCCAGATTTCCTGGCCCCAGTCCTAAAATTCTTTCAGAGGGCCACACTGCCCCTCTCCCTGTCAATTCACTGTTCCCAAGCCCAAGAAATTCAGGCTCTCCAATGAGCTCCCTGGTGTCTAATTAAATTAAAATGAAAAAGAACAAAGTAGGTGTTTGTTACAAACTTAAAAATCAGAGGAAGAAAACCTTTGAGGAACCGACTAACAAAGTACAAAGAACTGGAAGCGATAAGAACATAAAAGATTAGAATTCAGAATGTCCTTGCAGGCCTGAGGAGTCAATAAGTAGTAGCCCAATTAAGTTCAGGAATGGAACATTCAGAGGGGCAAGGGAATACACTGGAGACTATTTAGTAACCTGTGCAACTGGAGATCACCATACCGGCTAAGCACCTCAGTCATTCAGAGGCCACCTACAAAGAAGCAGTGAGTGGAGGTGGGGGAAGCTAGAGAGCCAACACTGGGTCAGACTGGCCGGACCCAGATCCTCATTCTGCTGTGTAACCTTGTCAAATGTCTCAGCCCCTCTGTGCTTCCCTTTCTTTATCTGTAAAATGGGGATCTTAGTACCTACATAGGGTTTTCTGAGGATTCAGGTTGATACATCTGAACCACTTGGAACAGTACCTGGCACATAGTAAGTATTCAGTATATTTTAGAAATTACTACCAGTTGTGCTTAGAGACAAACAACAGGGGACTTTATAAGACGATGTAATGGAGAAAGTGTGCAAGAAACTGATATTTCAGAAGAGGAGGAGTGATTATGTGAGGCTGGAAGCTGGGGTGCCAGATGGCATCTGAGGCTGGACAGCCAAGCTGTGGTGGGCTTAGGAAGGGTTTTATGGGCCATTCTGGGGAGTCCAGGCTCTAGCTCAAGTTTGAGAAAGCTGACAGGATGGCAGAGCCAAGTTGGATGGAAGGGAAGCAAAAAGCAGAACCCATTAGGATGTCACAGTCCCATCCTGGTCAGGATAGTGAGGGAGTCAGGGAGAATGGCCAGGATATTCAGGAGGTAAATCAGTAAGGCTTGGGGACTCCCCAGGACAAGTGGTTTGCGAACCTAAAAGGCTTATAGCCTGTCAGGAGCTCACTCTGATTAGGAATTCAGGGGAATGATTCAATAGGATTCTTGAGGGGATGAGATGGATTATTAAACATAAAAAGACAAGGCCAAGCGATTATCAATACAGGAAAGCTTATAATAAAGATATGTTTCCCTTTGAAATCAGATGAGGAAATTAAAGACAACGTGTAGCATGTAGGATTCAAGGGACTTACTAAACACATGACAGTTATGACACAGGTATTAAAGGAGCACAGAAAAACTTATGCTAAAACTGAACTTCCAGCTCCTTTTGTAAGTACCGTCATGCCTTAGAACAGAGGTGGGGAACCTTTTTTCTGCCAAGCACCATTTGGATATTTATAACATCATTTGCGGGCCATACAAAATTATCAACTTAAAAATTAGCCTGCTAGCCCGGCCGGTGTAGCTCAGTGGTTGGGCATCGACCCATGCACCAAGAGGTCACTGGTTCGACTCCCAGTCAGGGCACATGCCCAGGTTGTGGGCCCAATCCCCTGTGGGGGCATGCAGAAGGTGGCCAATTGATGTTCTCTCATCGATGTTTCTATCTCTCTCCTTCTCCCTTCCTCTCTAAAAATCAATTAAATAAAATTACAGCTACTTTAAAAAAAAAATTAGCCAGTTATATTTGGTTAAACATTTAATTAACTCACCCCTAATGTGATGGCTGGTATTGATTTCGTGGGCCTTATATGGCCCGTGGACCAGACATTCCCCACCCCTGCCTTAGAAGGAGAACATTAGGAAAGTTCTGGAAGTTCTTTCCTAAAGAATTCAGTAACTGTATAAGAAAACATTTTTAAAGTGTTCAGACAATTACAATGACTTCTGAGTAACTGTATTCAAGAAGCTAGAATATTAATGTCCGTTTTGATTCAAGCATTAAGCCAAGAGGCTTACAAGTAAACTGAAAACAGTGTGATAAATGATAGGCCAAAAATTCCAGGAACTGCTGAGTCAGTAGTGTTGTGTTTTGTTTTTTTTTTTCAAGACATCTGGCCCAAGAAAATCCACTTGGAGCACAAGGGGAACTAGCTGACAATTTCTGAACCCTTGGTGACTACATTTGAAAGCTTGGGGGAAGGGCCCAAAGCAAGAAAAACATGGGGGTATGGGGGAGACTGTTGTCCCTTGGACTGCAAACTGCATCTCAATAAGACCTGGATACTTTGGGCCCCAGAAGAGGCAAACTGTGTGAGAGATAGAGTGCTACAGGCCAAGACTGGGGGATTGGAGCCAGGGTAAAGGGATACCTTACATGTTCAGCCAGAGGAGGGCAAAAGGGAAGCATGTGTCAGCTTCCCAGGTTGGGTAAGATGGGGTAAGAGGAACAGGATTCAGGGCCAGTACCCCTGAGGGGGGTGTGGAACTTTCCTCCTGGATATATCCATGACTAATTGGACATCTGCATAGGACCATTATGGCAATGCCTCCTCCTCCTAGAGTGTGCTGAAAAGTGGCCTGGAGTTGCAAGGCCAATTCTTACTAATGACCCTGCGCAAGTCACTTCACCACTGAGCTAATGCTGCCTGTCCTGTAGAATGAGTGTCATACTCACTTCTCAGGACAGTGCTGAAATTAACTTAGCTGAGTGCCTGGCCAGTCATTAGGTATCACATTTGAACAGCTGTTCTCCATTCTCTTAACATGGGATGAAGAATCCCTATTCTGTCCGTTTTTCCATCAACAAAGATTCCCACTGTTAAGTTTCTGAGGATTGGTTGTACATTATTATACTTTTCCCTCCGTTGGTCCTTCCCCCTCCCCCACCACCTGTGGCACCCCTTCTATTCCATCAACAACCCAACACCTCTTCCTGGGCCCCTCTCCCCTTGTGCATCAAGTCCAATGTTTTTCTCCCCACCCTGCAGACTCACACCATCTTCTCGCTGCTGGGAGTGGACCATGCTTATGTCACCAGTATCGGCAGACTCATTGGAATCGTCACCCTAAAGGAGGTAAGATGACAGTGGCCATCAAAGATGACTTCCACTTCCAAAAAGGTCTGGAGGCTCAAGTCCAGCTCATCCGGGGGAAGTGCTGGGAAGGAGTATAAACAAGGAGCTCCATCTGACCCTCTCATCTTTCCAGCTCCGTAAGGCTATTGAGGGCTCTGTCACAGCACAGGGTGTGAAAGTCCGGCCACCCCTCGCCAGCTTCCGTGACAGTGCCACCAGCAGCAGTGACACAGAGACCACTGAGGTGCATGCACTCTGGGGGCCCCGCTCCCGCCACGGCCTCCCTGGGGAGGGCAGCCCTTCTGACAGCGATGACAAGTGCCAGTGAATTCCTCAATGGGCGGCCTTGGATGGCGGTGGCCTTGGCTGTCGGCCTGGATCCTACAGCTCTCCTGTTCCTTCTGCCTTGGGAAAGCAGGAGGCAGCTACAGCCAAACGCTGGAACCCCAGCCCCAATTCCAGACCAAGGGTACCAGCTTCTCCCAGCTCCTACCTGGAATCTGACCCAGCCCCCACCTGCAGCACTGCCCTGGCGGTATGGGGGTGGGGTCACTTGACTCCTGCTGCCCCTTTGAGGACGAAGGGGGTAGAACTAAGATGGGTTTATACTGGAACCTCCAATGACCAGATGTATATAGAGATTTACAAAGATTTTTATATTAATTTAATAAAACAAATTCTTAAATAGAACAAAATAAACACCTAATGAGCCACTTATATATAGAATGCCTGTGCCCATCAGCTCACGTTCTTACCTTGGGCCCTCTTACCTGCCAAAGCCTACAAGGCCTGAAGTCTGTAGCCACCTATACCTCCATGGCCATAAAACTCCAGAGCCTGCTGTCCATGGAATGCAGGGTCTACAGAGGGCTCCACTGCTTGGCCATCAACTCCCTGGCTGCCCCTAGTACTGTAGCTTCAGCCAAGAAAGGCACTACCCTCTTTCCTCCCCAAGGAGAGACACTCCCTCATGACTGTCACCCGTTGGCACAATTCCTGCCCAGCTCAGGCATCAGCAGACAACTGACTAGCCACCTGTGTGGCCCCCTGGTGGCCCTTTTTGGGAGAACATCGAAGTCACAGCTCTGTAGCAACCAGAGCCATCCCCTCTGCCAACTCCACCTTCCAGAGAACTCAATGAATGCAGCAGCCTGGTGGGCTGGAAGCCACTGGGCCCCCGCCCACATATCCTTCAGGGGACTGGGAAAGGGCCCAGATCTCTTCAGGGCAGCCAGGAAAAGGGTGGAGGGTACATGCTTCCATCATTCCAATGCCTCCCAGAGAAGATCCGACTGAAAGAACAGACCAAAACCCCTCTTTCTTTTGAAAAAAGATTTAGAGACAGTGGAGAGGTGAAGCACAGCACGAGCCCAGCTGGGAGAGGGACGCTGGGGGACAGCTCAATCCATTGGCTCCCTGGGTGGGGGTGATTCTATCAAGCACTGCACGTGGACTTGTGGACTCAGATGAGGAGAGCAGCAGGGAGAGACGGGGGTGGGGGGGAGGCCAGGCTCCCTCCCATTCTATCCCAGTCAGAACCACCCCCTCAGGGTTCACATCATCAGAGGAGAGATGGGGGAGGGGAGGAGGAGGGGGAGGCCAGGCTCCCTCCCATTCTATCCCATACAGCCCAGTCAGAACCACCCCCTCAGGGTTCACATCATCAGAGGAGGAAATATGTGGCGTTTTTTGATTTAAGAACATGAACATCACTCTGCCACAGCTGCAGCCATGCCCCAGGGGCCCCGGGCAACCCCCGGCAAACCCCAGGAGTGGGGGCTGGACATGCGCCCCCAGCCTGGTCCCTGCCTCCTCTCTAGACACTTTCATGCAAAACACACAATGAGGAGTGAGTGCTCCCAGAAGCCCTCTGGACTGGAGCTCTGCTGAAAGCCTCAAGCCCACAGTGGGGCACACAGGCTCTGCCCCCAGCAGCAGCCAGGGGACACATGCCACCACCAGGCATGATCTGCGTCACTGTTCCTCTGGCTCCACCTCATCCTCGTCTAAGGGCACCACCCCAGAAGAAGCCACATCAGAGGCTTGCCGCTGGCGTTCCCAGCTGCCCACTGGTGGTGGGCAGAGCGTCTGGCAGTCCTCGCAGGGGGCTGGCTCCTCCTCGGTGGGGGAAAGGCAGGACTCTGTGAGGGGCGAGTTGTAGAGCAAGTCCTGGGCCTCCAATGGGCCCAGGCTGCGGAAGGCACTTTCCCGGCTGGGGGGCATTTTGGCAAGGAGCAGCTCTTCACCCAGCAGCTGGGAGGTGAGGCGGGCTGGGGAGCCCAGTAACCCGTCCTCTAGGCTGCACAGACTAGAGCACAGGGTCTCTGGGGACACGGTCTGCGAGCAGTCGCTCTCAGGCTCCACAGAGCCCTGGCGCATAGGCCGGGAAAACCGGTGGCCAGTGAAGAGGTCCTGGAGGTGGGGTCCCAGAGGCAGCTGCCCAGCCATGTCTGTCAGGAAAGAGAAAAGACGACAGCTCTGCTAGCCCCATCTCAATTGGCCAGCCTAGAAGCCATATTCTCCCCACTCCATCTGGGTACAGCTCTAGGGATGGTGGGTAGGAGCTGGGGAACTTTAGGCAAGTCACTTAACCTCTCTGCCTCAGTTTCCCTAATGGAAATATACCTTACTGGCACACAGTAAGAAAGCAAAACTGCAGGGATGCCTTACATGACCGTGCAGGCTATTCACTGTACCAGGGGATCCTGTCCAAGGCAGTGAGTGAGGGCCGAGATTTAGCCCACACTCTGCTCAACAAGCAGCATGCTCTGGCATGGGGCTGTGCCCACCAGCAAAAGGGGTGCCTTTTTCAAATGTGCACAATGATTCCACATTGGCTAGTAGTAGCCTTGGATAAATATTAGTTATTATCATTATATGAGGAGTCAAAGCAGGCCTGGAACTCAATCAAACAAAAACACTATGGTTCAGGTCTGTCTTGGTCTCAGTCATCCAAATCAGTCCCCTCTGGACCACAGCAGCAGTCTCCAAGCTGCTCTAATGGACTGCGCACCTCAGAGAACTTGTTAATTAGCTAGAGGGATGGGGATGTGTGGAGGCAATCTTCAAAGGCAAAGGGGTGGGGGGGATAGTGGCCTAGGAGGCTTAAGCTCAGAAGCTAGAGAAAGTCAGCCACGTGGTTCCGAAAACGGAAGATGAAAGGAGGGCCTTGCACAGCTGCACAGCCCCGCGGGGTCCCTTCTGCACGCACTGGTGGAGAGAAAGGCCCACTAGCCTGGAATGCGAGGAAGCTAAGCTGGAGCCAGCAGCCCGGTGGGCAGTCCGGGCCTAGCAAGCTTCCCGTTTGCATGGGGCCACAGCCCCGTGAAGTGCTGTGCTGCAGCACTAGGCATCCGGGCTGCCACAGCCAGCCAAGAGGCTGACTTGAGAGGACTTTCAGAGGTAAGGTTCAGCAAACCCTCCTGGAAACATGACTGCACAGAAGGTGCTGGTGAGGTCTCCAGGCTTTTTTTTGAGGAATGCAAAGCCCAACTGCACCGACAGGCAAAGAAGTCTCAGCACCTGTGGGAAAGAAACTACTCCATTTCCACCTGCTGATTGCACACCCACAACAATAGACAGCCCTCAGACCCATGGAAAGTCAAGGATTGCCTGGACAAAGTTTGCCTCTCTCTGCTCTCCTTCCAAAGGCTAAGGACATTCTGGATCTCTCCTTCCAAAGGCTGAGCTCTGAATGAGAGGGCCTATCAGGCAGTTCCACCCCAGCTGGCTGCACTACGATGGAATGTCCCCTCACCTGAGTCAGTGCCCCCAGCAAAGTCCTCATCATAGGATTCATCGGTAGAGTCCTCACCATCCACTGAAGACCATGCCCGGAGCTTGGCTTCTGCAATGGCAAACTGCTCAGCCACTCCTGTTGGGGGGACATGGAATTCATTAGCAGAGGTGAGCTATAATTAGGGCTCAGCTTGGAGACAGGAGAGGAAAAACACAGGGGTATGGAGAGACTCCAAACCCTACATTAGGCCCAAGGAGATGAGAGAGAACATCCCTAAGACCTGTGAGGGATGTTCCTCTTTCTGTCACTCACCTGCCGCAAAGCGAGCCTCTTGTTCACCCTCACTGAGATCTGAATAGGAGGAAAAGGCTGATTCCAGGGCAGCAGGCGAGTCACTTGGCTTGCTCCAGCCCTTCCATTCAATAAGGTGAGCCACTCGGCCCTGGGCCATGGCGGTAGGCTTGGTCACATGGTCCTTCACCACCTGGGAAATACCTAGAGTTGGGAGAGTCAGAAAGCCTTGTAAGAGCATAGGTCAGGGAGCACCTGGGAAGGAAGTGGAAAGCTGGGGATAGTGAGGGTTCACATGTACCTTTGGGGGAAGAAGGGGGCTAGGATTCACCTTAGAGAGAGAGGAAAAGGAAGATGGCAGCAGGAGCTCATAGGATACAATATCCAAGGGCATGCGCAAAAGGGAGAAGAAAGGACCAAATGGCCAGAGGCATGGGAGGGAGGTTCATACCATGCAGGGAGGATCTGGCCAGTGCAGCGATCTCCTGGATAGTTAGGGCTCTCCGGGACTTGGGCAGCATCGCGATTGTGTCTCCAACATTCACCTTGAGTGACAGCATCAGAAGGTGAGTGCTCCTCTGACAGCAGTGTCCTCCCACACGCCCATACCCCACCTAACCCATCAAGGGGATATGGGAGCTGGGAAGAGATGACAGAACAGCACGTGTCCCAAAGGCTTCTGGGATATGTAAGAGAGTAAGAAGCCAGGACTAGCAACCTATGTCCTCCCAGGGAGCAATGGAAATGTGGGCAGGCCCAAAGGAGCCCCTCTTCTCCTATCAGTCTTCAAACCCACGTTCTAGCTATTTCTAGAGCCTACCAGGGCCATAAACTCAGCATGACCAAAAACAAACCCAACACCTTCTCCCCATAGCTGGCCCTGCTTCCAGACTTCCTTACTTTGCATCACCCCACCATTCTCCCATTCAATCTGGCTCCAATTCTCAGCATTACCATCAACGCTCCCATAAGCTTTCCTTACCCATATCTGTTGTTAGAGCTAATGATTCCATCTCCAAACTGCCTCTAATACTACCCTTATCCTTTGCAAAGGCCCTTCCTCAAGCTCTTAATGCCCCTGCGCAGATTAGCACTGTGGTGGCCCCCCAAGCTCCTCCACCTCCATGCTATTTTCTCAGCCTAGTATGTTTTGTATGTGTTCTCCTCCCCCATTGCCATTTGTGGCTGGCTCTTTCTCACTTTTGGGGTCTTGGCTGAAATATCACTCCCTCAGAGAAGCCTTCCTGGCCACCCTACCAGTTGTCCACCCTCCCTCTGTATTCTGTAACAAGTCCCATCCTCTATCAATGTCCCATGTATGTAATTATGGTCTATTTTATGTGTTTCATTATTTCTTGTTAGTTTCACTCAATGGTCTTAAGCTCTTTCAGAAATTCAGTTCTTTGGTTACTGCTGCATCCCAGTGTTTAGTCCAGTGCCTGGTACAGAGCAAGCTTTCAAAATACATAGGTTGAATGAACAAGGCAAGGTATAAATATAAACAATTTTCCTGGAGTGCAACTGTTCATAACATGTCCTTATTTAAAACCTTTTCTGGGTTCCTTCACTGTCCAATGAAGTGCAAGCCCACAGCCAGGCAATGACTCCATGAGGCCCTGCCTCCTTCCAGGCCTGCTTGGAATCCACCCTGATCTCCTCTGCCCAGTAAAACCCCACTTCTCCACTTTCCCTGTCAGCAGGCAGCCCTCCTGCCTTCCTCCAAGCAAAAAAAAACAAAACAAAACAAAACAAAACAAAAAAACCAGCTTTTCCCTGGGCTAAGAATGCCATCTTTGCCTACCAAATGCCTACAAAATGCTCCATACCATTTAAGGCCCCACTCATGTGCCACCTCCTATTGTGTTTTCAATCCACAGTTTTCTCTGTGTCTTCTTCAAGCCCACCCCAGCCCCAGCATTACCTTTGCATCTCTCTTGAGGGATCTCAGGATGGCAGAGCCTGTGTCTGATTCACCTGGGTTCCTACCTCCACCCTGCACCTGGCTCTGTGCTCCTTGGCAAGCCCAGGCAAATGTTTTCCTCAACGAATGAATTAAGTCAGAGAGATAGGCCCCTCCCTGACATTGCCTAGCTCTACTCCATCAGTTCCCAACCCTCACAAGAGGGGCTCCACCTGCCCTTTGACCTCACGCCCACCTCCTCTGTCCCTTCCCTTCAGTACCTGGCTGATAGGGCCCCCAGGGTGGCGCCGGCAGTCTCTGGCCAGGCCTGGAGGGAGGAGCACCTGCTGGGTGTATCCTGGCTCGCCCTCCCTCCTCTCACCCCCTTCTCCCCCCCACTTGGCCATCCCTGCCAGCACTCCGCGCAGCTGCGGCCCAGGCTCAGAGAAAAGGTGTATATCTCCCTGGCAACCCATCACCATGCAACAGGGTCTCCAGGGATATGGCCCGGGATGCACTGACGTCAGCGCCGAAGGCGGGAGCAGCCCGCCCGGTGCTGGCACCGCGCCGAGCAGAGCAGACCGGCGGGGGCGGCCTCACTGCCGGCCGGATAGCGCCCCCGCTAGCAGGCAAAGGGAGACAGAAACAGGCTGGCAAGGCGGGGGTGGGGAATACATACAGATCCCTTTCTTGTGGATACAGTCCCTCTTCCCCTACCAACACCAGGGGCCCAGCACCTCTGGCAAATCCTGGCTGTCCACAGAGGAAGGGCGAGAGGACCTGCTCCAGCCTCGGAGGGTCCGAGCAGATCCCAAGGAAGATAGAGAAAGGCCCCGAGGAAGTTCGATCCACTCCACAGCCCAGGCGGGGTCGGAGGCCACTGAGGGGTGGGGGAAAGTCTGTTCAGCTGGGCTCCCACTTCTGTCAAGATCCCCCTCCTTTTCATCCGGTGTTGCCATATCATTCCTCCTCACCCATCCCCCACCTCCCAGAATATCAGCAACCACCTGGTGCTCCCCCCTTCTCTGAAAGCCCCTAGCCTTTAGAGGTCCCTGGGGCCATTTTGTGGCAGCCACTGGCAAGCTTTCTCCACTGGATATATTTTGCCATCAAAACCGTCAAGATGAAACCTAAACTTGGATAAATTCTGAATTTTCTCCGGTTTCTCAGCCTACCCATTCCTCTTGGAAAGCACACCTCATTCTTCCACCACCATCACCGTTCCCCTCCCCACCACCGTCTTGGGCCCTTTGCAGGCTTGCTGCCTTCCTTCTCTTGGTTCTTTCCTCTCGCCAGTCTCAGCTGGTACGCAGTTCTTTACTCTTCTCTGACGAACCTACAATTTTTTCTTTTGCCCCAGTCCCCTAAAGCTGTTTCCTGATGGCCTGCCTGGCCCCAGCCTGGTTGTTCCTGTTTCAACCTGGTTCCCAATATCTAAGCCAAAGTAATTTTCCTCTTGCCACCTGAGCACCCTACTCCTCAGGTTCCCATCACCTCCCAGATCACATCTACATGCCCTGGTCTCACCTCTGCGACTTGTCTGACAAGTCCATCGTCCTCCAGGCCCTTCACGCTGCCACAGAAACATTTTGCCCAGCACAGAAATCATAGGCATGCTGGCTGTATTGATGCAGAGAACCAAAAGCCCAGAACCGCTCCAGGCTCAGCTCCCAGTTCTATTCCTATTTTGGTTCCGGATGCTGAGCCAGTCCCCTCCCCACTTGGAACCTGTTCCTAGTCACATAAGGAAAGCTCTCCTGCCTCATGGCTTTCAGGAGGTGGGAGTGCCAGGGGCCCAACCAAATTCTGTGGAGCTCAGTGAGCTGAGGCCTATCCCCTAGACAGTGCCAACAGGCAACGTATATCACAACTGACCTTTAGCTGGAGCAGCCGTCTGTGTCCCTGAGCCTCAGTCAGCTGGTGGTCCCCAGATATGCTACCAACCAAAAGGAAGACACAAGGTTACAGGACATCCCTGGCCCTAGCTGGTACCTACTCAGGGTTCTTGATGCCAATCCTGAGGTCAGCCAAACTCTCTCCTGACCACAGGAGGGATAACTTCCTGAACTCCAAGTTTTACAGGACTAGAGGGCTCCAAGCAGCCTGCTGCTTCTCAGCTTCAAAAGCCATGAGGTTAATTTAAGACTACAAATCCCAGAATTCCTCATGGGAATCCAAAGAAAGTACAAATCTCAGAATCTTAGTTCCAAAGAACCTCAAGTACCAACCACACTAAGGCCTATGTGACTGACCACCTGCCCTGAAAGCCCAGGACCCATTCGAAAACCTAGCTCTCAACATCATAAGTTCCTACCTGGCCTTAAGCTTGCAGAAATCCATGACACTGGAGTAAAGTAGGCTGGCCAACCTCAGATGCACAGGACTTAAGACCAGGCCCCAGCATGCACCATCCATGGGAACCAAGGCCCAAGCAAAGGTCAGCAGTTGTGGGAAGGAAGACCTGATGGCCTGCCTCTGGGCTCCTGTTTCCCTCCACAGGTAGGGTTATTTGTTGTTGTTGTTGTTGTTGTTGTTGTTGTTGAAAGTGGGGGAAGGGAACTAAAAGAGTTGTAAGAGGTGAGAAGTGATCAGGTGCTCACAGGTGCCCCAAGTGGGGCCTCAGTCCTGTTCATCAACCATCTAACTCTGAAGTGAGGAGTAAGGTTGATTAAAAACTCCCAGCATTTGCAGGCCTAAGGGGGTTGGGACACAGATGGGAAAGGCAGGTTCCCAGCATAGGGCCACTCCCAGGACAGAGAGGAGAGGTGTAGGCAGAAGAGGGGGTGGGGCGGGGGTAAGCATATGTGGGCGGACAAGGCCAGTTGCCATGGGCTGGAGAGGGTTGCCTAGCCCCTCCCCAGGCCATGAACCTCCTGCCACCCTCGGCGGTGGGAATCCAGGAGCCTACCCTGCAGAGCCCAGAAGCAAGCAGGCCAAGAGACCAAACCCAAGTCTGTTTAGCCCCCTCCCCGCTCATGCCCGCTCCCTCCTCTTGCCCGGACCGCCTCCCTGGTGCATGCTCCTCCCTCTCCAGACACAGCCCCTTCCTCAAAGCCCCAACCCACCCACGGCCCGTGCACCCGCAGCCCGACTCCCCAACCCGTGCCCGGCCTCTGCCTCTTACCCTGACCCGCCGGGCTCCAAGAGCCGATACAACCCATGGCCGGAAACCCAGGCCCGCTAGCCCGCGCTCGGGACCCGGGCCATCGGCTTGTAGAGGGTCAGGCCTCGGCTGCTACTGGGGAGGGGAACACCCGTGAGGGGAGGGGGTGGAGGCCGCGCGTCCGCCGCTGCTCCCGGGAGAGGGAACCGGGCCGGTGACGTCAACGCGGGGGCGTGGCCACCCGCGTCACCCTTAAAGCAGGCGGGGCCCAGCCGCCGTCAGGCCACGCAAGGGTGGTCTGGGGCCGAGTACGGAAAAAGCTTGTCCTCTGCTCCCAGGCCCAACAGCTGAACGACCCCTTGAAGCGGGTGGAGCTGGGTAGAAGAGGCGGCAACGAAGGTAAGAGCACTCATGGGGCCCAGGCTGCATCCAACCCTCTGACTTGATGAGGTCTTATAACCATAAATGACTCCCCGGCTATAAACAGCCTGAAACCCAGGACCTTCTCCATGCAAAAAGGAATTGGATCCCATTCTGGTAGGACAGCGAAACCAGCGAAGTGTGTTCTATTAAGTACCCCACAGCTATGTCTCCCTCTCCCTTCCTAATCAACAGGGCACCCAACCACGTCCACTTCGAGGGCCAAATCCTCCAAAAAGTGACTCCCAGCTCCCACGATCATGGACAGGGGAAGAGGCAAGAGGGGTGCCAAGTTATAGGAAACTGTGCTGTACAGCTCTGGAAAGGAGGCTGCCCACCGATCCATACCCCTTCTCCAGAGGGAGAAGGCCATAAAGTAGAGAGGCAGTGAGCTTAATTGAATTCATGTTTAATAATTACAGGCACCGTGCCCCCCCTTCCCCCTGCCCAAGCAGCAGCAGGGGTGGTGCAGGGGCTGGGGCATACGCCCCCAGCAGCGAGGACGGCAGTCCCAAGAGTGATTTTCGGAAAATAAAAAAGGACCCCAGGGCAGGCAGTGGTGCCCCCCCCAAGACACACCAAATTTCAAGACTTTATATATAATATATCTCTGTGCCCCAGGGGGAGGAGAGGGACACCTGGCAGCATCCTGGAGGGGGCCCCAGGCAGCCCCAAGCCATCCTGCCTCTTCAGCCACTTTATTAGCTCAGACACATCGCACTACAGGCACCCACTGCCACCGCCGCTGCTGCTGACCCCCCTGCAGTCCAGGCGGCTGGCTGGGCCATCCAAGCGTCCATGGGGTTCCAAGTCCCCGACCCCACCGGCCCTCAGTTGTGGTCGGACTCCTCCTCCCCTTCACGAAGCCACTTGAAGAAGCCTGTGACAGATTTAAGGGCCACGCCCTTGCCCTGCTGCTCAGCGGGGTCCTTGCTACTCTCCCAGCTGTAGAAGGCGTCCTCCTTGACCACGTCCTCATCGTACAAGGTATCAAAGAACATCCGAAGCAGGTCTGCAAGTAGGCAGGACAGATTTAAGAGGTGTGCTCCCCACAGCCACCCCATCCCACCTCCAGGAATCCCTCCCAAGCTCCACTTTTAAACAAAGCCCTTGACGCATTGTCCAAACATTTGTATGTTTGACCATTTCATAGTAACTAGGTCTTTGACAGGATACTAACCTCATGATCTAAGAGACTGGTGCACAGGAATGAGTCACTCAGCCAAACCTTACAAACCTGCCTAGCCTCACTCACCTCAGCAGCTTCACATTTCTTCACTCATATTGTATTTCACAGGGAAAACTCTATGTACAACTGGTACTCCTGAATTTAAGGAACCACAGAAGTCCCACATGTATCACTCATAAGTCAAAGGTATAACCTGGAACATCCACTACCCCCTTTCCAGATCCTGACAAACTCTTCATCTCAGTTTTCTTCTTTCCATCTATCCCCTGAACATACAAACCCTCTCGGGCCTTGACACTTTTATGTATGCTACATCTTTTGCCAGAACACCCCTTCTCTATTGTCACCTTCCTAGTGCCTTCCTTTAGGCTCAACTCAAGCACCCCCTGGCTCTTAGCCTTCCTCACCCTTAGCCTTCCCAAGCACTTGTCCTATAACTCTGAACACAACCTACTTCCTTTCCCACACTGCACTGCCAGTATTTCCAAAGCAAACCTCACATTCCTAAAAGCAAATGGAGGTTGAGTAGTGAATAAATTTCTTTTGAATAAAGAAATTAATATAGCCCTGACCAGGTAGCTCAGTTGGTTAGAGCATCATCCTGACATACTAAGGTTATGGGTTTGATCCCTGGTCAGAGGACATACCAGTGAAATACATAAATGAGTAGAACAAACAAACAGTTTTTCTCTTAAAAAGAAAAATCAATCCTGGTCGGTTTGGCTCAACGGTTAGAGCATCAGCCTGCGGTCCAGAGAGACCCGGGTTCGATTTCCGCTAGAGGCATGTACCTCGGTTGCAGTTTGTCCCCGGCCCTGGCTGGGTCGTGCGAGAGGGAGCCACTCGATGTGTCCCCTTTCACGTCGATGTTTCTCTCCTCTCTCTCTCTCTCTCTCTCTCTTCCTCTCCCTCCCTCCCACTCTATCTGAACAAAAAAAAAAAGAAAAAATGTCCTCCGGTGAGGATTAAAAAAAAAAATCAGCCCTGGCCGGTTGGCTCACTGGTTAGAGTCTTGACTGGCGGACCAATGGACCAATGAGCGAGTCATGGGGTCGATACAGGTTAAGGGTACGTACCTCGGTTGCAGTTTGTCCCTGTCCCTGTCCCTGGTCGGGGTCATGTGGGAGGCAACCGGTAGGTGTGTTTCTCTAACATGGATGTTTTTTTCTCTCCCCCTGCCTCCCTCCCACTCTATTTGAAGATAAATAGAAAAATACACTTGGGTGAGGATTTAAAAAAAAAAAATCAGCCCTGGCCAGTTTGGCTCAGCAGTTACAGCGTCGGCCTGTGGTACAGAGAGATCTGGGTTCAGTTCCCGCTCAGGACACATACCTCGGTTGCAGTTTGTCCCCGGCCCCAGTTGGGTCGTGCAGGAGGCAGCCACTTGATGCGTCCCTTTCACATCAATGTTTCTCCCTCTCTCTTCCTCTCTCCCCCTCCCACTCTATCTGAACAAAAAATGGAAAAATGTCCTCAGGTGAGGACAAAAAAAATATTTTAAAGAGAGAAATGAATAAATCATATTATCTAGAGCCTAGTCCATGTGTGAAACTGACTGAGCCACCGGTGAGAAGCTGCAAGACAGGATGTTCTTGCGGGCACACACACCCTCAAATCTACAACTGCTTGCCTATGGACAGCCTCCCACCCCCATCCCACAGCAATGGCAGCAATATATCACTTATTCCAAACTTGTGCTCCAAATTCCATGCACACCCACCACCTTGGGGACCCTATAAAATTGATTATCCACTCTGCCCTGTATTCTCAAGCCCAAGTTTCTCCCATCTCAACACAAAAGGCCTCCTTTACAACCATTATCTCTTACAACCAAAGTCTTTTTGTCTTTTAACTAGAAACTGAATTCAAACATTTCTGTCTATACTTGCTGTTTCCCTATCTCGGTCAAGTATTATTTAGTCCTTTTCCATTAAGATCCTGCTGCCTGCTCCCTGCTCCACCAAATATTTCTGCCAGGGTGGCCTATACTGCAGAAGCCCTTAATTTTTAGGTTTTCTCCCATAGAGCTCTGAAGCAGTATCCAGCATTATTGACCACTTCTATCTTCTAAAATTACTGTCCTTCATTCCTAGGGCCTTGTCCTCCTTCAGTACCATCTGTGGTCCTTCAACCTAAAGACTCTATCTCAGACTCTCATCACTCTCCAGCAGGTAATCTCGTATCTTCTTGTGACTTGATTGTGTTGTTGCCCTGTGTTAGCAACTCTGATAAACCTCTAGCCCTGATTTCCTCTCCAAATCAATTCAGATATCCAGCTGTCTACCAACATCTCTTATCACCCAGACCCATGGACCACAAACTCAATATGGCCAAACTCAACTTAATCCAGTATTCCCTACCACCCAGTAGATGGTACACTATTATCTCACCTACTAAAAACCATCCTGGGAGGCACGACTTCTGATCTCTCATTGCCCTATCCCAAGCCAGTGTATGTATTGAATCTGCCCATTCCTCTCCCATCCTCACGGCCACCAGCCAGACTGAAAACACTTCTGATTGACTAATCCTACCACATTCCAAACCACTCTTCACCTAATGGCCAGGATGATCTAAAAACTGAATTAGAAAATTTTAATTCCTTGCTTAAAATCCCACAAAGGCTTCTTCCTGTCCTTAAGCTAAAGCCCAAAACTCATCCCATGGCTTACACAGCCCTGCGTGACCTGGCCCATGTCCATCTCTCCAGCCCCATTTTGCCTCCCATGACTGGTTACTGCACTCTCCCACAATGGTCATCCTTCAAGTTACTTTACCTTGTGTCCAGTTCTTCCTACCTCATGGCCTTCTACATATAGTTCCTTTGTTCCAAGTCTCCTCCCCTCATTTGTCATTTAGCTCCCATTTGTCAAT